TCAACCAATTAAGCCACCCAGGCGCCCCAAGAGTCCCAATGTCTTTTATCTGACATCTTACTCTCCAGGCTCCTTCCTTTCTTTCGGTGGAGCACATCCATTAGCAGCTTCCTGAGAGAGAGGATAAGGCACTACCTTTTCGAGGGAAACTGCATGTCTGAAAATGCCTGGTTCTCTTAGATACTTGTTTCCTTTTGGTAACTTTGGTAGCTTTTGGTGGGAAATAATTTTCCTTCAGAAGGCATTATTCCACTGACTTCTGGTTTCCAGGCTTGATAACTGATGAAATTCTATATCTGCTTTTTCAGAAAACGGTTTATAAAACCTGTTCTTTTTTTTTTTTTTTAATCTCTGAAAACGTCTTGGAGCTCTTCTTTGTCCCACTTTTCTGAAATTTCACAGTAATGTGTAATTCAGCTCTATTCTACCAAGAAGTATTGAGAGCATGGGCTGTATAAATTCTCCCACTAAATGCTCCAGGGTACACAAAGATATACATAAGTTCTTAAGGAGCTGAGAAGGTATGGGAGTGTGGGAGATATGGTAAAACAGGATATTGGTGAGGATGCATTACTGCTCATCGGAGATTTGTAAAAGCAACATTTTCACAAATTTCACGTGTAGGTATTTCTCTTTTTCACTTTTATTTATTTTGAGAGAGAGAGAGAAAAAAAACAAGCAAGAGTCGGGGAGGGCCAGAGAGAGAGAGAGAGAGGGAGATTCCAAGCAGGCTTTGTGCTGTCAGCCCAGACAGCCCGACTTAGTGCTTTATTTCACAAACTGTTTGATCATGACCTGAGCCGAAATCAAGAGTCAGACACTTAACCACCTGAGGCACCGAGGCGCCCCAAGTGTCGGTATTTTTTAAGAGGGACTAATCCAGAGTCTCAATCTGATTCATTTCATTAGAATTTCAGCCTTCCTACACTCAACATACCATGCTTGGCATGTCCACAGCCCCTGTGGGACATTTGACTTCAAGTCCTGCTTTTATTGCCAGGAGTAGTTGTCAGCCTCTAGGGGGCAGACTTTCCTACTATTCTGCAGAGGGCCAGGGAAGCTTGTCTTCTGTGCCAGAGGTTTCCTCCAGCTGGGATAGAACCAGGAACCAGGGCTCCCTTTCAGGAAGCGATCTCTAAAATGTATTTCTCCTTCCCCTTCAAAGACTACCTGCAGATAGAACATATCTATCCATCAATAGATATAACACATAGTAACGTACTTAGTAAATGGGTTTTTTTTATTTTTATTTTTTAATGAATGGGCACAGAATATTTCTATGTACCATCTACCCAATATTTCCATAGCTGTCCATCCCTGGTGGGAATCAGCCAAGAGACAGCACTACCGTGGTGGCTGCCAGAATATCACGACTGAGAACAATTTACACACAGTATCTTGTTTGATTCTCACAACAATTCTATGAAGCAGGTATTTTTAAAAGATTTTTAGTCTTTTTTTTTAAAAGAGGTTTTTATTTATTTTGAGAGAGAGAGAGGGTGTGCACAGGGTAGGGGCAGAGAGAGAGAGAGAGAGAGTCTCTCCCAAGGAGGCTCCATACTGACACTGCAGAGCCCAATACGGGGCTCAAACCCACGAACCATGAGATCATGACCTGAGCCAAAACCAAGACTTGGATGCTTAACTGACTGAGCCACTCGGGCGCCCCAAGGCAGGTATTTAAAAAAAATTTTTTTTTAATGTTTATTTATTTTTGAGAGAGAGAGAGAGACTGACAGAATGGGGAAGGGGCAGAGAAAGAGGTAGACACAGAATCTGAAACAGGCTCCAGGCTCTGAGCTGACAGCACAGAGCCTGACACAGGGCTCAAACCCACGAACTGTGAGATCATGACCTGAGCCGAAGTCAGAAGCTTAACCAACTGAGCCACCCACGTGCCCACCAAGGCAGGTATTTTTAATCCTCATCTTATAGACCAGAAGCTGAAGGATAGAGAGGTTAGTAGACTGAATACAAACCTTACATTAGATCCAACTCACACTACCACAAAAGACAACCCCTTCACTCGCTTGAATGGCAGGTTAGGCCACTTGGGATTTGTCATCAGACTAAAGCATTTGTTACCCCAGAGGAGCAAAAGGTGGAAGCTGTGTGAAGGGGAAGACTTGCAGAACAGTATTGTTGCTTGCTTTGATGCTAAGTAGCTGTGGGGTTCTGTCTTACACACTCCAACTCTCTAGGCCTCAGTTTCCATATCTGTAAGACGAAGTTAAGAATACATTGTAAAGGGGCACCTGGCTGGCTCAGTCAGTGGAGCATCTGACTCTTGATCTTGGGGTTGTGAGTTCGAGTCCCACGTTGGGTGTAGAGATTGCTTTTAAAAAATTAATAAATAAATTTCTTAACAACAACAAAAAGAATACACTGTGAAGAGTTTGGAGAGAAGTCCATGCTGGTCCAGGAATAAGGCACAGGGAGAGGTCCTGGAAGGCTTTCCAAGGAAGTCTGTGCTCCTTCCAGAATGATGGGAGACACTGCTGGAATTCCGAGAGTGGGGAAGGGTAAGTTAGTGTAGAAATTCTTTGTGGGCATGAGTGCTGTCTTCAAACATTTCAGTATAATCCAAGACCCACACTTTCTGCCCAAAAGTGGGTTCCTCCAGGCAGTGTTCCCTCCTGAGAGCCAGTGACTCTGGTCCCACCAGGGTGGCTCAAACTCAGCTACCTGCTGAGATCACCTGGGGAGCTTTAAAGGTGCAGATGCTAGAGGTCAGCTCATAAAGAACCCGACTTGGGGTGTGGCCAACGCAAAGGAATGTTAAGAGTTCCCCATGTGACTCTAATGTGCAACCCAAGCTGAGAACCGCTGCCCAGAGCTTTGAATTCATTATTTCGTCTGAAAACTTACGGAGAAAATAAAAGGAAAGCAGTGGCACTCAGGGGCTCACCAACTTGAATGTGCAAACAAACAGATCACCTGGTGATTTTCTAAAATGTAGCCTCTAGAGGCTCCTGGCTGGCTCCGTGGTGGAGCATGCGACTCTCGATCTCAGGGTGGTGAGTTTGAGCTTCATGTTGGGTGTGGAGCCTACATTAAGCAAAATAAGTAAATAAAATTAAATTATTTGGGGCGCCCGGCTGGCTCAGTTGGTGGGGCATGTGACTCTTGACCTTGGGGTTGTGAGTTCGAGCCCCACGTTGGGTGTAGAGGTTACTTAAAAATAAACTCTTCAGGGGGTGCCTGGGTGGCTCAGTGGGTTAAGTGTCCAGCTTTGGCTCAGGTCATGATCTCACAGCTCGTGAATCTGAGCCCCACATCAGGCTCTGTGTTGACAGCTCAGAGCCTGGAGCCTGCTTCAGATTCTGTGTCCCTCTCTCACTCTGCCCCTCCCCTACTCACACTCTCTCTCAAGAATAAATGAACATTTAAAAAAAGAATGAATAAAATCTTTTTTAAAATACTAAAAATAGGTGGCTCAGTCGGTTAAGCCTCTGACTCTTGATTTCAGCTCAGGTCATGATCTCACAGTTCGAGAGTTTGAGCCCCACATCCGGCTCTATGCTGACAGCTAGGAGCCTGTTTGGGATTTTCTGTCTTTCTCTCTGCCCCTCCCACCCTCTTTCTCTCTCTCTCAAAAATAAATATTTAAAAAATACTATAAAAATTAAATAAATATTTAAAAAATACTATTAAAAATATAAGTAATAAATAAATAAAATGTCGCTTTAATTCAGGAGGTCACGTGTGGGGCTGGGCTCCTGCCCCTGTAACAAGCTCCCAGGTGATGGCCACACTGTGCCCCCACACTGCACTTGAGAAGCTGGGCTGTGGCTTGAATGAATACAGACTGGCATGAGCACTACATGTCTTCAAGCCAGCTGGGGTCCTAGTAAGAAGTTACTTTGCTGTTTGAGCCTCTGTTTTCTGATCTTAAAGGCAGGCAAGCAATAGTAACAACCTCGTAGAATTCCTGTGATGCTTTAATGACATCATGCAGTAAACATGTTTAGCAGGGTACAACAAACGTTAGCCTTTGAATAGTTAGGATAGCCAACTCTCATGGAATGCTCACGATCCGCCAGGAATTTTCAGTCCTTTCATGCCTTACATCGTTCAAGCCTCAAAACAACCCCGTGAGGTGGGTACTATCATTTCATCATCCCTATTTTACGGATGAAGAAACTGAGGCACAGAGAGGTGGAGCATCTTAATTTACATCACACACCTAGGAGCAGCTAGCCTGGTGTTTGAACTCAGGGAGAATCTGGGCTCTTATCTGTCCCTGGGCTAAAATGGACACTAGAAGGTATTTATGCCCTGCAGGCCTGACTTTCTGGAGGCGATGACTTGAGGCGTTACCTTCTGTCACGAGCTGGCAGCCCACCGCTACCTGAAGACCACGTCCAGAGCCCGCGCGCGCTATGCCCACAACACCGCTAGCTCTAAACAACCTCCAAACTCCCTTCTGCCCAGGGACCCCACAGGAGAGAAGAGCCCTACCTCACTGGCTCAAATATGAGTTCCGCAAGAAAAGACCACGTCCGCAGGGAAAGCAACCAGCAAAACGAGTTTCCCGCAATTCCCATCTACCCCCGGAGGGCGTCTAGACTGGGAAATCTACAAATCTCTTTATACCGAGAGTTCAGCAAAGATCTGGGAGTTCAGCCAAGTGGGAAAAAGTCCGGAATCCCTCTTGGATCCCCCAGAACACTTTGGGGGCGCCGGGCATCGGTGCCCGCGCGCAGGGAATGGGGGGGACACGCGCGGAGGAGACTCTGTCTGCGGGGTTACCTCCGCAGCGTCCGTGTTTTTTTTCCTGCGGCTCCCCTGGGAGGGGCAAATGCACTGGAGGGGCAGTGCCGGGGGTGGGGGTTAGCCCAGCGGTTTCCATGGCACCCGGGGCGTGGGGGAGGAATGCACCCCGCAAGCTGTGTCGAAACAACTGCGCAGCCGGACCAGCCCGGCTGGAGAAGGCCGGGGGGAGTGAGGGGGCAGGCGGGTGGGGGAGGCCGGGCCGGACGGGGGTGGGGCGGTCACGTGCGCCCGAGGGGGCGGGGCCCCAAGCCGGCCCGGGAGCAGAACCGACTTCCACCTAGAGGCTCCGCGCAAGGCGTGAACTTTTTCCCTCCCGGAGACTGAGGGGCTGAACTTGGCCTGAACCCCTGGGGAGGACTCAAGGCACCCGTAGCCACGACCGGGCTGAGGTGTCGGGGGCTGAAGACACCAAGGAAAAGTGGGAGCAGAAGTCCGAGGGTGAGTGCAGGGAGCTCTTCGCAGCTGTTACGCAGGCTCTGGTCTCCGTTTATTCTGGGTGGGCGACAGCGCAAGTGCCCCGGCAGCTCGCAGCTCGAAGGCAGCAGCCGAAGCCGCTGTCTGTGAAGACTGCTGGAGTCCTCGGCACCTGTCTAGGGCTTCGGGAGCGGCTGTGGTCATGGTGAGTGAGGATCCCAACCCACAGGAGCACGGCGGCGGCACCCCTGCGCAGGAGCCCGCACTCCGCGCGGACCGCAGCGCCTCGGGGCACCCGAGCGTGTCGGCCCACCCCAGTGTCTCCATCCACCCCAGCGTCTCGGCCCACCCGAGCAGTTCGGCCCACCCCAGTACGCTGGCCCAGCCCGGTGGCTTGGTCCACCCCAGTAGCTCGTGCCCCGAGGACCTTAGTGTGATCAAGGTGAGCAAGCGCCGTTGGGCGGTGGTCCTGCTGTTTAGCTGCTACTCCATGTGCAACGCCTTCCAGTGGATCCAGTACGGCTCCATCAATAACATCTTCATGAAATTCTACGGCGTCAGTGCCTTTGCCATCGACTGGCTGTCCATGTGCTACATGCTGACCTACATCCCCCTGCTCCTGCCCGTCGCCTGGCTGCTGGAGAAATTCGGCCTGCGCACCATCGCCCTCACCGGATCGGCTCTCAACTGCCTGGGGGCCTGGGTGAAGCTGGGCAGCCTGAAGCCGCATCTCTTCCCAGTCACCGTGCTGGGCCAGGTCATCTGCTCTGTGGCCCAGGTCTTCATCCTGGGCATGCCCTCCCGCATCGCTTCCGTCTGGTTCGGGGCCAATGAGGTGTCAACAGCCTGCGCCCTAGCTGTCTTTGGTAATCAGGTGGGTTGAGGAGTTTGCCCACGTGCAAAGGAATGGGCGTCATGTCATTGGGAGGCTCAGTGAGTTAGAGTGTACCTGACCGCACCTAAGTCTGCGGGGGACTGTCATTTCCTGACTTCAGCGGTGTTTGTGACTCTGGGTGACTTCGTGGCTGGGTGTGACTGACAGTGAGAGTGAGTGATTGTGACTGGAAGGCTGTGGGAGAGGAGTGCAGGGAAACAGAAGGAGGAGACCTTTTCTTTCTCTAACAATTTCTCCTCCCCCAGCAGAAAGCATGCTTCTGGAACATAAGCTTTGTTTATGGTCTCCTTCCTGACCCTGACAGTCCACCAGCCTAGACCTGTGATTCCAGGAAAGTTATTCTTTCTCAGGGAGCAGCCCATGGGTGTCAGATTATTCTGATATCAGCAGAATTAGCAGATGTTTTTAGCCTGACTAACCAGCTTTTCCTAGAGTGCAGCGTCTCCTCTAGCATGGACTCCCACAGAACAGTGCCCTGATGGTGCTTGGCACAGTTCTTACCTTCCTTTATACACAGCTGAAGCCAGAACGGTGGGAACAATGCTTCGGGCCAAACTCCTTCCCTGGGGATTAAAGCCAAACCCAGCAGGATGGAGTAGAAATCTTTCTCGGAATTTCCAAGGCCTAGAAACCTTTTGCGAGATGTGTGGAGAGATGTGTGGAGAGCTCGTATCTCAATCCCTTCTCTCGCCTTCTTTGTAGAGGGAGGATCTCAAATTCTTTGCATCTCAATTGAGGTTATGACCCCCAAAGTTGGGCATTTTATGAATCTCATTGCCTTCTCCAAATATTTGAAGCAAATATGTACGGGATCCTCCTTTATCTGGACCACTGCCTGTGAGTCTTACTTCTTCGCAGGCGGATGCAGTTGTGGCTGTGATCAGGAACCCTTAGTTCTTATGGCGTTTTTCCCTTACAGGAGGGTAAAGCTGGGAAGTGAAAGGCAGGACCTTTCAGGCCTCCCAAAGGTTAAATCTCCCTATTACCAGCAGAACAGGATTCAGACAAGGTCACTGCAATACAAACCCATTGTTTGGGGAGGGCAGGATTGCTAACTGGGAGAAGACCTCAGATAGCCTGGCAAGATCAGAGAATGCAGAATTTTTCTGTAAGCCATAAAGCATAAACTGACAGGTTTTCAGGTCCCTTCTCACACACCTGTGAGGGAACTTAATGCGATATATCTTTAAAATTTAATAAAACTATTTATTCATTCCCCCACACGCACTCCCTACCAAGGTTAGGAAATGCTAAGAATTTTACATTTAAAAACACTCTGACAGCATATATTTGTATCGCAGAGCCAGTCTGTTTCATTTGATCTTTTAGGCTTCACCCTAAAGAAAAAAGTTATAAAAAACTGAATCGTTTATGCTTCCTCACGTAGAGATGACCTGTCTGGTTCCTGGCATGTGTTTTAACCTTTCTTTGTGAAGAAAGCAGGCTGAATGGAGGAGAAATATTATTAGAGTGTCCTGAGCTTTGCTGCTTGGAAAAAAGGCTCTACACATTTGTCTACACAGATTTCAAATGCTTCTCCACAGAAGACTTCTTTGTGGCTTGCAAACCTCACACTGGTCTGCAAACACCTGTGCCCTGGTAACTGACCTCTAGCGCCTCTGGCATGTAACATGCGTGCGCCAGCTCTGCCTGTATCAAATGTGTGATTCATTTATTCACTCATTCATTCATTCATCCAGCAAGCATTCACCTAGTATCTGCCTTTTGCCCGACACTGTGCTAGGGCTGTACAGGCAATGCCTGCCTTTGTAAAGTTCCTGGACCAGATTTTAAAATCATGCCTTGTAAACAAATGAACAGACAAACAAACAAGCACCCGGACCTACGCATAAAAGACTTATTTTCATTCTCCATGGGGTTTTTAGTATCTTCTTTGCCTAAATGCTTAGGAACAATTGAAAGGGATGGAAAGGCACTTTCTCATCTATTATGTAACTTTTCAGTTCTGCGGGGTAGGTGGGACCATCCCTGTTGTTACAGGTGAGGAAACTGAGACCCAGAAAGATAGAGGAAGCCTATCCAGGGTCGTACAGCTACTAAGTGGTAGAAGGGAGATTTAAACGCAGCTCCACCTCCAAAAGCCCATGTCTGTAGGCCAGTTCCAAGCTGTCATGTGGATAAAGCATATATTTTAATTTTTTTAATGTTTATTTATTTTTGAGAGAGAGAAGGAGAGAGACAGAGAGAGAGACAGAGCACAAGTCGGGGAGGTGGAGAGAGAGAGGGAGACACAGAATCCGAAGCAGGTTCCAGGCTCTCAGCTGGCAGCACAGAGCCTGATGTAGAACTTGAACTCACGAACAAAACCGTGAGGTCATGACCTGAGCCCAAGTGGGACGCTTAACCAAATGAGCCACCCAGGAGGCCCTAAAGTATATATTTTTTAAAAGGGGGCCGGGCAGGATTTTGAGGTTCGAATTATGCCCCTTGTGTCTGGTTGATGGTGGTGATAAAGTATCCAGCAGTTTTCTCCAGGATCAGAGCCTCCAACCTGTTTTCTGTTTGGAAGTGCCTGGCGTGGCATTGCCTCCCCACCCACCGTGTTGTAAATTGCAAAAGGGCAGATTCTGCCCCTTTGAGCCTAGCAGAGGCTCAAATAGAGGCAGGAGGCACAAGAAAGTGGGGCTCTGGTCTTTGGGAGAAAAGAAACCTGTGAATCCTCAGCTCTGGTGGGAGAGGGAAGGAGTCTTAGAATTGCAACCAAGCCTCTTTGGCTCTGGCCAGATGCACAGCCTGGCATTTAGCAACACTTGTTCCATTGCTTCCCATGAAATGATCCACATGGGGTTTTGAGTCATGCGGACAACGTTAAAGCAGAAGGGTTGGGTGAAAGCCCTGTCTTAGAGTCTGGTGATAGAATGTGGAGGCCAGAAGAGACCAAGTGAGCTCTGGGCCCCAATGAGCCTATAGCACCAGGATGGGAAGGGCCTTTGTCAAGGGCCCTTGAGCAGCCGAGAGCACAGTGTCACCCAGAAACAGAGCAGGAGAGAGTGTTTGCTTTTCAAGTTAAGAAAATGTAGTAGGCTCCCCTTATCCACAGTTTCACTTTCCAGGGTTTCAGTCATCTGCGGTCAGCCTGGAAACAGATGGGCCTCCTTCTGACCTATGAGAAGGTCACCCATAACCTAACACTATGTCACAATGCCATGTCATTCACCTCACTTTGTCTCATTACATAGGCATTTTATCATCTCACATCATCCTAAGAAGGGCGAGTACAGTACAAGAAGATATTTAGAGAGAGAGAGGCGACATTCATATAACTTTTATTACAGTATATTATTGGAGTGGTTCAATTTTATTACTCGCTATTGCTAATCTGGTACTTTGCCTATTTACAAGTTAAACTTTATCATAGGTAGATGTGTATAGAAACAAACGTGGTATGTGTAGGGTTCAGTACTAGCTGCAGCTACCGGCATCCAGTGGGGATCTTGGGATGTTCCCTGTGGATAACTGTGGGCTCCTGTATGGTAGCCTTGGAGAAGCAGTTGTGGAGCAGACACAGCTGGTTGGGCTGTCGGGAATAGCACTGTCCGATAGAAATATAGTGCAAGCCGCACATACAACTAAATTTTCTATTAGCTACATTGCAAATTGGTGAAATGTAAATTGTTTAAAAAGTAGAGAGAGTAGGGGCACTCATTCAGTTGAATGTAAGACTTTGGCTCAGGTCATGACCTTACAGTTCATGGGTTTCAGTCCCTCGGGCTCTCTGCTGTTGGCACGGAGCCTACTTCGGATCCTCTGTCTCCCTCCCTCTCTGCCCCTCCGCAACACCCCCCCCCACTCTCTCTCTTTCAAAAGTAAATAAACATTTAAAAAAAAGAAAGAAAAAGTGGAAAGAGCAGGTGAAACTAGTTTTAGTACTAAATTTTCTTTAACCTGATAAAGTCAAAATATTCTTTCAACATATAATCAATATAATAAAATCACTAATAAGTTATTTTACATTCTTTTTTCATACTCTTTGAAAATAGGAATGTATTTCACACTTAGAGCCCAGTCACGTTTCCCAGGAATGATGAGGTGTGTTCCATAAACAGGCTGGACAGAATGATCTAGGGGGCGGGAGGATCCAGTTTTCCTTGACCCTCTTAGGGGCCCTGGGTGGGTCTAAAAATTAAACTGATGAAGACAGATTATCAGGAGAACATCATCCAAATTTATTTTTTTAAATTTTTAATGTTTACCTTATTTTTTGAGAGAGAGAGAGACAGAGTGTGAGCAGAGGAGGGGAAGAGAGAAGCAGGCTCCAGGCTCTGAGCTGTCAGCACAGAGCCTGACGCGGGGCTCGAACTCACGAACAACGAGATCGTGATGTGAGCAGAAGTCGGTCACTTAACCCACTGAGCCCCCCAGGCACCCCTAAATTTATTTTTTAAGTGTTTATTTATTTTAAGATACACAGAGTCCACAAGTGCATGTAGGAGAGGACGGGCAAGGGAGGAGCAGAAAGAGGGAGGAGGGAGAGAATCCCAAGCAGGCTCAGCAGAGAGCCGGAGGAGGGGCTCGACCTCACAAACCATGAGATCGTGACCTGAGCTGAAACCCAGAGTCAGATGCTCAACTGACTGAGCCAGCCAGGCACCTGCATCCAAATTGATTATAAGTATTACATGGCATGGGAGCCTCCCTGAGGAAAGGAAGAACAGTCCTGTGTACGTTTCTAGTAGGTCTGATGAAAAGAGCACCATCGTGGTCAGGAGAATGGAGTTATCGTAGTGGGCTGGGGGAGCTGCACGCGGCCTGGTCGTTAGGGTTCTCCTTGGCAGCCCTTTGTCTTCAGAGGTAAGGGTGAGCCTTTGCTCCTGGCATGAGAGTGGCAGCTCTTGCAGGCAGTTTGTAAGGCCTGTTTCAGGGAAGTAGGGCGAGGAGGAGGAGGAGGAGGAGGAGGAGGAGGAGGAGGTCAGAGTGACTCTCCTGCTTCTGCTGTTTCCTCAAACTCCTTCAGCTTA